CCGCAGCAACAAACTGGTTGACAGGGAAATTCCTGTCTTCCAAGGGTCACGGGCGCCTTGGGGCTCGAGCTGGAAGGCGGAGCAATAGGCAACTGTCCTTTGCTGACAGACACAGCAGAGGGGGACAAACACATTATTACAATGACGGCTATCAGTACAATGATGAGTATGGATACGAGGGGGATTACCATGATGATTGGACACAAGGGGGTCTTCCAAGACCCCAGAATCCCTATGATGCTTATGAGGATGACCAGTATTACTATGATAATGAGGAGTGGGACGACGAATATGGATACTACGATGAGGAGGGAAACTTCTACTACGATGATCAATATTACTATGACGATGGCATGGATTACTACAACAACCCCTATGGATATTATGATGACTATGGTGATTATTATGATGATGGAGGTGTGGAGTATTACTACGGTGATGATGGAATGCTGTATGAAATGGAGCCATTTGGTTACTATGGTGATAATACTGATTTGTATTATGACTATAACCAGTATGGAACAGAATTATATGGAGATTACTTGAATTACGACATGGGTTACAACTATGGAATTTCAGATCCATATGCCACCGTAAGTGATGGTTACAATGTGATTTCAGATCCTTATCAAAATCCAATGATTGGATACACAAACTCCTCTCCTATGTATAACCTTCAACAGCAACAAATGTACATTGATTCTGGGCTTGATACATTTGAGTCAGGTCAGGTATTCGGTCAGGAGCAGGTGGCTTACCCTGGATTTGAGACATTTAATGGAGAACAGTTCCGGGTACCCAGGCCCCAGGTGAGACTCTTTGGAAAGCAGAGACTGGATGTACAAACCCTGCCACCTCCTCCTCCAAATTCCCCTTTGCCTCCTTTAACAGGTTTCCCTCAGAGTCCAGCTGTTGCTCTCAACAATCAGGAAATATTGTTGGACGTACAATATGAGCAACAGTTCCCCACACATTTTTCTGCACAGCCAGATTTCTCCAATCTCATGAACCAGCAATCACCTATTCCTTCTGTAAACCCTCAGCAACTGACACCTATGTTTGCTCAGCAGGACCAGTTTACTCTTCCGTCTGTTAACCCTCAGCAACTGACACCTATGTTTGCTCAGCAGGACCAGTTTACTCTTCCTCAGCAAGCCCATGCCACTTTTTCCGTTTCCCCTAGTCACTTTTCCCAAATGCCCAATCAATCACAAATGGCTTTTCAAGGACATGACCCCTTTCTACAGCAACATTCACAAGTTTTCCAAATGGGACACCAAGTGGCCACACCAGTAGCCACACTAAGACAGCCAACCATGTCTCCCATGATGGTTTCACCATTGCATTCTCCTGTGGCCTCACCTAGACCAGTGCGTAGAATGAGCCCACTTGCATCTCCACAGCTCTCATTAAGACCAGGATCAGTGCGGTCAATGGCACCTCATTCACCCCACTTCCCACAACAACACACACAATACACACCCTATCAGGCTAGCATTCAGCCTGGCCCCAAACTCTCTCCTCTCGCACCAAGAAAGAGACTTTCTCACCATTCCCCAATGTTGGATTCAAGGCCAGCCCGTCTTAACAGGCAGCAGCCACCAAGTCCACCAGCTTCCCCACCACAGCGCAGGGCAGGAATGTCAGTGAGAACGCAGTCATCCTTGGCAAGAGGAATAAAGGGAACTGGGTTGCCCAGACAGCCATCCACCGTCAGACACCAGTCTCCATATTCAAGTCCAGTAGCTTCTCCCCAGGCATCCATGAGGAGGCGAATAAGTCCACCACCTTCCCCGAGACTTTCCTTCAGACAACAACCCCCTCCAGATGCAGTGCGTTTACCGTCAACCAGACCTCAAGGTAGAAACCAATCATCAAAACTGAGGCGCCCCCCCTCTCCTTCCCTACTGTCTCAACAAAGAAGGAGCCCACCCCTTCAACAACGTTCTCAGTCACCCCCCCAAGGTTTTCGTCCTACCTCACCACATCATCCACCTTCTCCTTCTCCTTCCAGGATCACAAGCAACCACTTCCATTCCCATCCCTCTACTCGCAGGCAGAGAGATACAGATAGTCGAAGTCATGTGCCCATGGGAGCTGTGAAACCCTCCCCAGCCAATCCCTACATAAGGAGACGTAGTCGACGTGGACCCCCTGTCACTCAGCATGTTTCTCCCTTCAGGTCATCTATCCATAGTATCCCAGCATCTCCATCAGGTCATATAAGAGGCATTGCCCCCTCTCCCATGCTGTCCAGAACAGGTTCCCGTGCCACAGTAGTAAGGGATTCAAAGCAAGTTAGTCCTCCTCCAGGAGGCTTCCACCGACCTGTAGGGAGGGGGCAGCCACTGGTGCGTATGCCTAGAAGTCAGCCGTCACTTCAGTCCAGGCAGTCAATTAGAGCACCTCCGTTACGGCCTCCAGTCTCACCACAGCCTTCTTTGAAACGGAATGGCCCTCCTTCACCCCAGCCATCAGTACGTAGACTACAAGGCAGACCTCTTTCTCCACAACCTTTGCGCCATTCACCTTCTTTCCCAGCCCATCCAGCCTCACCAATACATCATTTATCCCAGCCACCCTCCCCACTGCCACGCAGGGCCATGAGTCCACGAAATCCCAGACATTCATCTTTTCAACAGCCAGTACATCAGTATGGGCTCCCCAGTGGCAATCTCCCACCTTCTCAGAATCTTACTCAGTATGACTATACGATGGTGGAGCAAGGCCCCACCCCATTGCTCACCAATGCCTTACCAAACCCTCAAGTTGTAGGTGTACCATTTTACCCCTCTACACCTCCTTCACAAAGACCAATTTCTCCTCAACCACAACATGAAATGCTCCCTCAAAACTTCCCTCAGCCATCACCCTCATCACCTTATGTAGGACACATGCTCCAAAACCCTTACGCACCTAATATGAACAACACAGCCATTTTACAGCGAGGGGCTTCACCTGTACCTGGTGGGCAAGGGGAAATATTAAGTGATGTTCAGATGAGCCAAGACCAGAATCCACATGCAACTCTTGGTTTATCAAATGCTCTAATGCAGAACGCCCACCTCCGTAGTGCTTCATATTCATCTCCTCTACTACGTAATGCCAACCTATACACACCAGTCCTCTCATCTCCACAGGGTGTAACCCCTACTGCATCCTTTGTACCCCCTTCTCCTCAGTTGTCTTCAGCTATGCTAAATTCACAGCTACGTAATTCATCCTTTGCCTCACCCCTTCAGAGAAATATGTTCCCAATGTCCCCTGCCTCACCTGGACCTTCTCCAATCTCACCTGAAGAGCAGAATGTCAGCGCTACTTCCCCACTCTTTTCTGGGGGGCTACGGACTTCCCAAATACAAGGATCTATGTTCAGGTTTCCAAGTGGTGCTTTAAACATGCCTCGAGGCCCAAGTGTTCCTCACCTTAACACTGATGTTGGAGGTGCTGTTGGTAGTACTGGTTCGCTGTCACCCTTGATGCTCTCTAGTGCCCTGCAAAACCCAGGCTTACGTCAGGCCACTTATCGTCTACCTAATGGTGCACTAGTTACCAGAACAGAACCAGCTGAACCTTCTTTAGCTCCAACACCATTATCCTCCTCTATGTTGTCCTCTGCCTTACTCAATCCTAGTTTGCGACAAGCTACTTATCGTTTGCCAGATGGAACACTTGTAACAAGAACAGAGCCCGCACCTGCACCCTCCTCCAACTCATCTTTGCTTTCCTCTGCAATGCTGAATTCCAGTCTCCGTAAAGCTACTTATCAGCTCCCAGATGGAACTTTCATTACAAGAACTGAGCAATCCTCGGAGCCTGTCACTGCCTCTTCTTCTAGGCTGTCTTCAGCACTGCTGAATTCTAATGTTCGGATGGCCTCATACCAATTACCAATGGGATCATTTCTTACAAATCCCGGTGGAGAGACACAGAATGCTGCAAGTACAGCATCATCACCAGGCCTTTCTGGTGCCCTAAAGAATGCAAACATGCAGATGACAAAATTCAAGCTTCCGGAAGGGTCCTCCTTATTTTCACGGAACAAACAGGAGAATTCCACATCCAACCAATCAAATTCACTTCTTTCTGGTGCATTGCTTAACACCAATCTTAAAGGTGCGTCCTACAAACTGCCTAATGCATCTTTATTAAGACCTGGTTCTGGTAATACCCAGGATCCACAGTCGCTTGCCCTGTCCAATGCCCTTCGCAACCAGAACCTGCGATCTGCTACCTATCGTTTGCCAGATGGATCTTTGTCTGTGAAGCCTCAGTCTGCTTCTGCCACACAAACACTTGATCTGTCAAAAGCTTTATCAAAGAACCCTGGCCTCCTCGGGGCAAAATACCGTCTTCCTGAAGGCAATATTATGACACGTCTTGGTGCCCCAAAGACTCCGGAGCCAAGTTCACTCAACCTCTCGGGTGCTCTACTGAATACTCAGCTCCGACAAGCTTCTTACCGATTGCCCGCTTCGTATGCAATAGTATCACCCCAGGTTCAGGGATCTGGCCCTGAGCAGCACTGGGCCCAGGGATCTGATGGTCTTGACTTTCATGATGTGGATGTATGGGGTGCAGAAACAGTTCTTCCTCATGGGACAGTACAAAACCTCAATAAGTGGTCCATGTATAGGGATGGAGAACTATTGGACCCCAGAACTGGGATGGAACTTGGATTAGTCGGCCAACAACCAGGGAATTTGAATCTCAGCAGAGAGGGAGAACCACAAGGACAATGGTTTGATAAGGTATAATTTCTGAGTGAATTAATTATTTTTATTTTAATATTTTTCATTTAAGCACTTAAACTCCTTTTTTTAAATGCAAATTATTGTTTTTTTTGTATTTATAAGAAATGAGGGTCTGAGCTGTGTCTGGAGGTATCGTACAGATATATGACACATACCCACACACCTTCAAAAGAAACACAACGCGCAAGCAGGTTTTTTGGTCAATCAAAAAAAAAAAGACATGTTTCTGTTGTTCAATGTTTTTAGATGTACTCCATCAGGAGCATGACCACCATGGATAAACCGGAGCAAAGAGAAGAGGACGGACTGGAGGATATGACTCAGCTACAGTGAGTTGTTATTATTGACAACATTCTCTACTTGTGTTTGTTTAATGACTCTTTTAAATGCTGTGTCCAGGGAGATGCATGAAGGGAATGTTCTGCTGAATCTGAGGAAAAGGTTTGAGCGGGAGCTCATTTATGTAAGTCCATCTGGCATCTACAGTGTATCGAGACCTTGGTGTGTAGTTTTTACACATTTGTCCCTGGTTTTATTTCATTTTTATTATAAAGACATACATTGGAAGTATCCTGGTGTCTGTGAACCCCTACAAGATGTTCAACATTTATGGGACAGACATGGTGGCGCTTTACAAAGGTCGCGCCCTGGGAGAAAATCCTCCGTGAGTCAATGTCTTACTTATGATTCATAAAGTGCTACTTATATGACTATATCATACTTATGATTCATAAAGTGCTACTTATTGTAGCAAATGAGGGTTTGGTAATCGTTTAAGAAAGTGATTTTATATGTTTTAAAGTATGAGGTGCTCATGCAAATAAAATTTTGTTTTTTTTTCCCCCCTTCAGGCATTTGTTTGCCATAGCAAATGCTGCTTATTCCACAATGATGGATGCCAAACAAAACCAGGTCCTAATAATCAGGTGAGATATCAAATGTTTATATTTTTATGATTATATACCATATATGTTCCTGTGTTTATGAATATTTAACTTTGAAACCTGATCATGATTCTGTCTCAGGTGTTGACTTTTCTTCTCCATTTCCTCTGATGTACAAAATGTCCATTCAGCTTCTTGGCCAGCCTGGTTTCCATCTTCAGATGGATTAGTGTTTGTAAATTCATGAGAGTCCGTCTCTGGTTTTCTGGCCAGCAAACCTAAGACAGTCACCTGTCCTTCGTCTTTATCCAAGGTGACCCCTGAGTTAACACCTGTCTTTTAGGAAAGTAAAAAAATAATACGAAGAAAAAAGAATTCATAATCTTGCATTTCTAGACAGTAATTGTTCGATAATTCATGAATAAATCCAATCTCCAAATGTTTAGTCCATATACGTATATATATATATATATTTATATAGTATGACACTTAGACACACGTGCACACTTTTGCGCACAGGAGGATCACTGTAGCCATAGCTGGAAGGAGACACCTGTAAGGAAAGCCCTGCAAGTCTCTGCCAGCATCTGATTATGTTTCAATAGTGTGTGTGTGCAAGTGCGTGTGTGTGTTTGTGTGTGTGCGGGTGGGGGGTTCAGAGTCTAAGTGCATGTGAACCGACCTTGTGGTTGTGTGTATGCGTCACCAAGTGCGTGTTAATGGCTAAATGAGGCCTGGTGTACAGTGACCATTAATTGTTCGGTTTTTAGCAAGGCAGCCAATCAGGTGAAACCTTATGCTAGAATGTGGGCAAGGTGCAAGTATCTCTCTCTCTCTCTCTCTCTCTTCTTTTTCTTGGCGTACTTGGTGTTAAGTTGGTAGCAGCACAGGACACCTGTGTGTGTGTGTGTGTGTGTGTGCGAGAGAGTGTTACTCCGTTTCAGGTTGTTAAATGCAAAAGTGGAATTAGTGCCCTGCGTACTTAATGTCTGTAATTAAACAGGTCTCACATCACAGAGGCAAAGACTGCCGGCTTTTTACAAGTGTTTACGGGTCTGCTGTGAAGAAGCTGTGATTTGTTTTGGGTTTTTTTTTTTACTCCTCAGCTGTTGGTTATTTTCAACTTAATTGGACAAACTACAGTTAATATAACCTATGTGGATTATTATTAATTATACTTTTACCAACACATATCATGTGGTGATACTGTATGTGTCGA